CGAGGGAGCAGCGGGACCTGCCTGGTTGCCTCCGGCGGCACGGGGCAGCCAGCCGGAAACGCAACGGCTCCGCGCCTCGCCTCTGCCGCCAGCGCCGCCGGGAGGTGGCGCCCCACGGACACGACGGGCCACGGGGCTTTCCCCAGCCGCCTCCTTGCGGTGGGATATCACCCCCACTTTTTAATTAACACACTCTCAGGAATAGCACATCCCGTGAACCACACTCCTTGCCGGCCAAGAGACGCCACGAAAGTGCCAGTCATTGCGTCACGTTTCGTAATCGGTACACGGAATCACTTGTCGGAAGCAAAGAGAGCGCCGTTGGGGTGTCGGTCTGGCCGTGGCTCATTCGAGCACAGCAGACCCCCAAACCTTGCAAAATAGAATAAATTACTCGTAACGTCATGTCTGAAACTTTGGGGTCGTAATGCACAATGATTCATTTTTCTGGAACCCGTTCACAGGCCGGGAGAGAGGCAGTTACGTCGAAATAAAATAATATAATGTGATGATAGAGGGCAGTCCAACAGCAAATTAAATCGTGTGGGAAACATTGTAAGAATAATGGTCTGCCACTTGTCCGACGCTACAAGGATATTCAGCCCACGTTGAAAAGTTCAGAAGTATGTGGCTACCATGGGTCCCAAAAATGATGACTTGTGGGACCACCAATGTTATATGTTCTACCTGTTTTATGTATAAATGGCATGTATAAACGGCTGGACGGCAAAGAAAAGGTATGCCAGAGGCACTGTTTGAAAGAATGCTCCGGGTACCATCTTCTCTTGCAACTACTATGGAAGCTTCTTGAGTGAACGATATCTGATCTATTTCATTTAAGCCATTGAGATTTCTCGGAAAACTCGTATCGTTTGAAACAAATGTCTGAATTAAAAAATTATTTTCCTGTGAGAGTTTCTTGAGCAAAACCTTTCCTGCTTTCCTCGCACAACTTGTTTCATTACGGATGAGAATTTTCCAAGATATCTGTTGGCTTAAGTTAACTAGACCACGCGTATGTGTGCTTTATGGAGCTCCCATCACGTGTACCTTACGAGACTAATACAATGCTCCAGGAAATTCTCCCAACACTGAGCCAAATCAGAGCCTCCTTTAATAATTGAATTTATGCTGGTAGCAACCCGATAACTGGAAAACAAGTGAAGATGCCAACACTTCCAGCACTTATTATGATTATGGTGAGTACGCACTTTACTGTTTCAAGCTGCTGCTGGAGCTACCAATATGATGTTGCAAGCACTCTCACCAGCAAGGTGCAACTGCGGAGAGACTTTCCTAGCGCCTTATGTAGTATGTATATATTAGTGAAAATTTAGTACATTGCGCCATGCCTACCGTATTAACCAATGTGAATCACTTTACACATTCTATATCTTGAGTCACATATTCCACATCACTTTATAAATAGCTACAAACGTAAATTCTATCATGACTTGTCGTATCTTGGCTCTGAAGATCCATCCGAGCCGTATAGCCGAATGACAACTACAAACATACATATATCTGTTATAGTGTTTTTATAACAAACTTAAAAACCATCTCATAGCAAATAATTTTGTTGCAAAAAGACAGACTGAGTCTTCAACACATGTGCAGCACATTTTCATTGGGAAAATTATGACGAAACGTGTGTGAACCAATATTGGAAAAAATGATCTTTCGATGGTAGTGAAATGCCTAATTTCGTTATTATATCTCCCATGTTTTGATATCTAAAAGGTGAAGTGATGGTGGTGGTGAAAAGGAGATAGTTGTTAAAACATTTTTCTGAATTAAAAAAATTCACATAGAGGGAATTGAAACAGATTACGTTCAATCCGTTCTTAAGGACAAAGGGAAAGTACATGTTTTTCGCCGCCTTAACATACGTCCTTCTCTCGCTTGTCTTTCTTTTAAAGTCCTCTACAGCGTAGCCGGCTATCTTTAGTCACTCCGTTGCTACACTCGCAATAGAACCTTTCTCTCTTGGCAGCCAGTTAAATATCTTCCAGTAGTGACTAGATATTCAAGTTGGGGGTCACGCTTATAATGAATGATGATTTTCCATATATGAAGGTAATAATAACGCGTTTACTTAACTTACTAAATACTTGTTAATAAGTTATTTTATTTACACAATTTGTTTTTCCTCTTACAAATAATATTGATTTTTTCTAAAAGACTTCTAGAGGGAAGTCGTGGAGAGAAATTTTTGATTTTTGGAGGAAATTTAGAAAAGTGAAGAAATGTTAAAATGATTTACAATACAACAGAAAAATTCCGGTCAGACGTCCGAGATCATTAGGGCAGTAGTACCGTAGCGGTCTAGGACCAGAAGACGTCGGGTTGGAGTCCCGCCTCGGGCATGAGTGTATTTGTGTATGTCTATATGTGTGTGCCGTCCTTCCATCCCTCACTATCATCTTCATCTCAACGACCATACCCCCAGGGCTAACAACCTTGGGAGATAAAAATCGATATTTATATCCCCTCCCCCCAGAACGCACGCGTGTTCCCACCAGTTGGCCTATACGCAAAAAAGGAAAAGAATCTCTATTATATTATAAATAATTTTAAACATTTTATTATATATTTTATCATTTAATTTAACAGCCTGGGAACAACAATCCCCGAAACCGTTGCACAGTACGTTTATGAAATAAATTATGGTTACAACATTTCTCTACCTATAAATATGGACCCTACTTCCTTCAAAATATACAATAAATATTGTATTCGCTCCCGAAGGTTACTCATCTCGTAGAGGACAATACATCTTATAGGGGGATCAGAAGGATTTGAGGGAAAAAAATATTTATCTAAAAGTTGCCAGTATGTTCTCGTATGTAATGGTAGAAGCTTGAATAATTGGAACATTCACAAGATTTTTCGATTTAAATGCCAAATTATTATGAATTTGGATGATCTTATATATAAACGTATTATTGTAAAGTTTACATTTATAAAATTTCCAACCCAACACACAGGTAGAGGTACACTCGCAACTAACCGAAGTAATGGGATCGCAACTATGTCGGATATGAAAATAATGATGATAATGTCATTTGCCGAGCCACTCCAAGATGGAATTAGGGAAGTCGAAACATCCCTAGGATCGCAGACACTTGCAGACTCGCTACATGTGCGGAAACTAATTTATATAATTGTGGGTTCCGTTTCTCAATGGATTATCTTTTTATTTTTCTGACCACTGCTTGGGTTAACCTGAAGACCCAATAACCTGAAGTCGAACAATTACCAGTTTCCTGTTCGGAATATTATTAATCGTTGCACCAAGAGGACAAACGAGTGCTTGAAGTGTTAAATACATGGAGGACTTACCATTGCGTGCGCGCGTACACCAGGAAGCGCTCCTCGCCCGGCGCCGCCCGCCCGCCCACGCAGCGCGCCGTGTACGTGCGGAAGTTGGTGTGGTCGCGGTACACCAGCGTGTTCCCGTCCACCTGCGACACACCGGCAAGCCCTCAGCTCCGCAGCACTTCGACAAACTCAACACCTCAACGCTTGCTGCCGGTTGTTCGTATAAATGAAGTTGGAAGTTCAAATAAAAGTACAAGATTGTTGCTTAAAAAAATAAAAATAAAAATAAAAAAAAATTTAAAAAAAATCTTCCTTCTACGATTGTTGGTTTAGAACAGGGTTGCCCAACTGGCGGCCCGCTGTGCCATTTACTGTAGCCCGCGAAAAGTTATTAGTCAAAAGTGAAAGAGCCTTGCATCCATGTCTGACAAGAACATTATACGCCCAGCACACGAGCCCTACCGGAACCACCACCCTTTTGATATACATAGAAGTAGGTAAAGTTTAGACTTAAACATTTTTTTCTAGTAAATTCAGAAATTCAAAATCATCTCAATGTGTTTCTCTGCGTTCTGCGTGGTACGGCCTCACATCACACATGGTTCCTATCCCCCCTCCCCCAAAATTATTTCTGATATTTCCAGCAATTCTTAAGAACCGAGGAAGCGCGATGTGAAATAGAACAAGGCTTCTTATGCTGCCTTTCATGATACGCATAGCTTCACGATCCTCCATTCAATATTTATCGAAAATTCGTTCCAGATCATCCATAGAATATCGATATTAATATGGTCGTTATATGCTATCAAATAGTCTTATAATTAGTTAATGGCATGTTGCTTGAGTTTTGTAATCCCAATTTCTGATTCTTACTAATTATACATATTTCCCTTTAAAATAATATTTTGATATATAACTAATTGAAATCCCTTTTAAAAATAATACTGTAGGCCTACTATGAAACTTCTAAAATACTTTTATTAATTAAAAATATGACTATTGAATTTAAAACTAAGGTTTAAACGTGAACAAAATAGGGATAAAACTGAACCTAGAAATACGGATAAAATGGGAAATACAAATAATTAAATTAAGCACTAAATTAAATAAGGGATTAAATAAGAGAAGAATACAGATCTACAACTAATAATTAAATAAAAGAAAAAAGTAAGTTTTTAAAACTACTCTGAATAAAAGGTTTCAAAACTATTCCGATTAATAATGAGAACTAGGATTTGAAAATATTGGTTTTAAAAATAAGGATTAAATGAAGGGAAAATGTTAGGTTTTAAACTGATATGTTTAAAAGAATGTTAACAGATGAGGAAAAGAGTTTAAAAACATTGTATTGAAATCAAAAGATTAAATAAAAAAACTATGGATTTAAAACCACTGGGTCCAATAAAGGGAAAATTAGGATTGGAAACAAGAGGGTTGAGAAGTTGGGGTGCTCACGTGCAGATGCTGCCAGCGGCCCTGCGCCCAGGCCGGGAAGCGGCAGGCGGCGGCGTCGGCGGCGTCGGGCCAGGGCTGCGCGGCCACCGGCGTCAGCTGCAGGGCCTCGAACCCCCACGACGCGTTGCGCAGGTCGGAGCGGCACGTGGAGTCGCTGGAGAAGGCCATGGCCACGGCACCCGTGCTCGCGTCCTCCGCGAACAGCTGCCACACACGCATCGCACGCCCGCTCAGCACAAATCCACCGCACTGCTCAACAACGGCTGCAAGTGCCTTTTAAATTATATTCGATATGGTCCGTTTTTTTTAATGACAGTCCAAAACTCTTAAAATTGTTCGTTAAATATTACATTTAAAAAATATTTCAAAACACATTTAGAAAAATCGTTAATTCGGTTTATTCATATATGAAGGTTTATTGAACTTTTACTTTCTGATTCTCAAAGTTTCGAGACCTTGGATTTGGTGCCATGTTCAAGATCTGTAATAAAATTTGAAAGAGAGTCTTAGTCCGTGGCACGGCACATGGCTAGGTATTAATCGTATAATTCGAAAACGGAATATTCGCATTTAAGTAACCGTTATGTTACGTATTTTAGTTTTTTAGCATCCGTTGACGCTGAAAACCTGATCAGTACATCCCGTGGACGACTAACAAGGACGCGTTGTTACAGCTGCTGATGAAAGTCCTTGTTCTAGGCAATGGTGCCAACGTTCCGAACTTCCTGCCATGGCCTGCGTTCTAACGAAGAGTTCAGCATGAACTATTCTATAAATAATATAAGAATATGTTCTATGAATAACTCATTCTCTTTTCTCACGTGTTTTAACAAACGTTTCTTTTTAATGTTCAATTTGTTTATGTATTTATAACCATATTTTATTCATTTTTTACAATATTTTAAAAAATAACTAACACTAGTGTATTATCAATTACATCCCTATCTTCTTCCTTTGTAATTATTGCACGCTAAAGATTTCTTGATACAACTTGAAGAGAAACCGGATTAAAACTAAGATCCATTTCCAATCCTCTACATAACCACAAGGTGGGCAAAGTCTAGTCTTTACAACTGCATTTACTACAGAAATCGCTTCCAAATCTACGATTGTAGATTAAAAAAATCATATTTGAAACAAAGAATCGATAACCCGGATATAATGGTACCAATCGTTCAAAACCTGAATGCAAACGCGCGATTTACGAACCTCAATTTAACTTTCTAATTTTTTTAATGAGAAGGATTGCTGCAACGTGTTATTGAGGCATTTTCATTTTTAGATTTTATTGCTATTATTTGTGAGGCATTAATCTTTATTCATAATTATTTATTAGTTCATGTCCTTCTTAGATCCCTTCCCTTATTTTACTCAATTAGAACGTTTTGCACAGCGTGAAACGAAATGAACTGCGAGCATAGGCCGCCAATTGGCAGCGACGTGTCCATTTAATGTTTTTTTCGCCGAAAGTGTTTTTCACAACATTTTCCATCTAATACAATACTTTCATTGATGTTGTTTCCGAACGTAACGACTGACTTTACAGTTGCTAATTCATAGGATGGCACATCCTGTTGGTGCGCAGTCCCTTTCAATTAGCATTTGCCTACTTATGCAACTAATTTAGCAGTAGCATCACAATCTTCCGTTACAAGTTCATACAACTTCCATTAACATAGAGTTTGTTGTGCTCGCTACCCGACGCGATAAACTTCGTGGAATATCGTACTCCAATATTTTCATTACATAACGTTGAAGTAGATGGACGTACACACGCACGCTCAAACACTCACACACACACACACACACACACACAAACACACACACACACAAGCCCACACACCTGTCAATTATTAGGCACTTTTTGTACAAGCGCCATTTATAGTTATTATTAAGATTATTGGACAGTTTGTAAAACTGTCTAATAATTGACAGGTGTATGTTGGAACCCCTGGACCAAAAGGGCCCGACG